TCCATATCATTCAGACCCTACTGCACAATGGACACTTATTTTTTTTTTCTTCTGTCGGTCATCTCTGAGCTCTTCAGCTCAAGGCGAGCAATCTACCACTTAAGCCACAGTGCCACTTTTGGTTTTCTGGTGGTTAATTGGAGATAAGAGTCTACAGACTTTCCTGCCCAGGCTGGCTTTGAATGGCAATCCTTAGATCTCAGCCTCCTGAGTAGCTAGGATTACAGGCGTGAGCCACTGGCACCCAGCTGGACAATTTTGACTAAGACTATCATGTCCCTCCTCCTCCTCTTCCTCCTCCTCTTTGTTTTTTGTTTTGTTTTGTTGGTGTGTGTGTGTGTGTGTGTGTGTGTGTGTGTGTGTGTGTGTTGGTACTGGGGCTTGAATGCAAGGCCTCACCCTCTTGCTTTTTTGCTCAAGGCTGGTACTTTACCACTTGAACCACTCCTCCATTCATGTTTTATGCTAATTAATTGGAGATAAGAGTCTCTTGGATTTGCCTAGACTGACTTTGAACCTCAGTCCTCAGATCTCAAGCTCCTGAGTAGTTTTTATTACAAGCCTCAGTCACCAGCACCCAGCCCATTAGCTCTTCTGAAGATTGTTCATAGGTTTAAGTAAATCTGGAAATTCCTCCTTTGTGTTTTTGTTTTTCTCCTGCCAGAGGGTGGGGGGGGGGGGGATGAGGAAGGAAAAGGTGGCTGTGGAGAACAGTGGTGGTGTGACATTGGCTGGTGCCAGCCTGGTAATGGTCCTGGAGTTTTGATTCAGTGTCTCTTTGTTGAGGTGATGTGTTTTCCATGTGGACATGTTCAGCGAACGTGATTTGGAGAAGACTGTGATCTGAATTAAGTGCACATGTGGGAGGGTCACATGTTGGCGCCAGCTTCGTATGGCCTGGCAGTGTGAATGCTGCAGGGGTCTTCAGGGAGGACATGTTACCACTCCCAGGTGTCCTCTTCCAAGGATTACCTCACTAGTCTCAGACACAGTCAGGGTCAGGCCTGTCTCAGGCCACGTCAAGGTGTCTGACTTCCAGACCCCTCAGTTCAAAGCTGGTTGCTGGTAGTGTGAGCCTTCTGGCTGTGGGGCCCAGAGACACTTTGCAGGGTGAGCTGAGACCAGTGTTGACTCTTATTGTCATCTAGGAATGCACGCAGGTGGGGGCATTAAGACAGAGTTGGTTTTTTTGCCAGTTAGGGATTTTTCTGTAGACAGTGTCTTGTAATAAACATTTGCTTTTGACTGTCAGAATGAATTTCTAAATGAATCCCATGTTGTTATGAGTTTTTATTTAAGGCAGCTGCCCAGACACTCTTTTGGTATGGTCCTGCTGATTTTGAGGTACTGTGTAGACATCCTCTTGGTCTGAGCCTGCTGATTTTGAGGTACCCCTGGAATGCCAAGGGAGGTGTTGCCAGCAGGTAGCCAGGTCTGGGCTGGAGCTCAGGACAGGAATGTGGCCAGCACAGGGACATTCTACTAAAGCCATGGTCTACCTGTGCTCTCCAAGTGAAACATACAAGGATGGAGGAGGCAAGTCTAGACAGATCTAGGTGGACCTGGGAGCCAGATGTGGAAAAGAGCAACTGGAAATAGGACTGAGGATGAAAAGCTTGAGGTAGGAGATAACCAGGAGAATGCAGAGTCCAAAGGCCATGATGCCAAATGGCCTGTGCAGGACAGTTGTGTCCCAGTCTTCAGAAGTTGGCCTCACTGGAAGAAAGAGAAGCTACAGGAGAGCAGGAGGCAGAAAAAGGTGAGAGAGGGAAGAAGAAAGAGCAGGAGCTGCTGTTATTAATGTTGTTAATGGGAGAGGTTTATGTACCCTGAAATATAACAGGAATAAGGAACTGGAAGGAAGGCGGGGCAAGGGCTCTTCGACGGCAGATTGGTGGGATGGAGCCAAGAGAGAATGGCTTCTAAGGAAGGAAGCAGAGGGTTTCTTGAAAATCCCAAGCTTAGTGGCAGGAAGCTTTCTGCTCACGGCTTCTGTTTTCCCTGGTGAATCTGGGGAATGTCCTGTGAGGGAGGGGGAGTTCCCAGGATACTCTGGAAGAACCCTGTGCAGACTTTGGGGCTCTTATTCTCACTACCTTAGCCCAGGACCTAGAGGGGGCAGCCTGGGTGAGCTGTGGGTTTAGTGCCTTGGGTGGGGGGAGAGTGGCTCACCTGGGATGTAGAGGCACCAAGCCTTTGTCTCTCCTCCAGAGCCAGCCTTGTTTCCTATGGTCAATTTTAACTTAATTATGATCAAATCAGTTCCATAGCACGGGCCTATTTTAGGCATTAGTGACTGGAGAAGTTTTGTTCTATTACTTCACATTTTCCAAGCCCACTTCACACAGATGGAATCTCTTGTAATCCTGTAAGGCCAAACACAGAAGGAGAATCTCGCCAAAGAGGTTGGCTGAGAGTTGGTTTAGAGCAGATAGAATGGTCTGATTTCTTCTGACATGGTGATAAATCTTTCTGGACTGAGTTTAGGAGGCTCCAGTGCTGAGAAGCACTGAGCCTTCACTCACTCCACAGATGCTGGCTGGGCATCAGCATCAGCCAGGGCCCATGTCTGCCTGCTGCCGTCCAACAGCTTCTTTGGCCTGCAGTCCCTGCTGCCGTCCTGGGGCCACTTTTGGCAACCTAGCTGATGCCTAGAACACCCTTGATAGTGACGGGATTCAGAGCAAGGCATTTCAGCTCCCAAGTTTTTTGTGCCACCTATTTTACCAAAGCATCTTTCTGAAATAGTGTTTCACGCTACCAGAGGTACAATTTTAAACATTACCTGTCTCCTAGTGCACAGGCTCCTTATGGAACTGTCAAAATCCTCAGGGTCTTAGAAATGTTCAAATCAAGCAAATTTAGGACCTGCTTTGGCTCTTACCTGGCAAAACAAGTGGGTTTTGTTCATATTTCAAGGCAGGAGCAAGTGTAGAGGGAAAAGGAAGGTGGCTTTTGGCATTTGAGCGAGGGCTGCACACTGCTTTCCATCCTTTGCAGAAGTGTGCCTCCAGTGTGACCAAGAGCCTGTGTGTGTCAGTCTTTCATGAATTATTCTCAAATGAGAATGTGCAGGTTCTGAAGTTTAACATTGCCCGCCACTGGGATGTGGACAGCTAGGATCTGCTGTTTGACTGTGGCACCACGTCACTCCCTTTCTGCCTTCCCAAGTTGGTGTACAAATAAGACCGCAGACTCTGAGTTAAATGTACATGTACATATAAGTTTGGGTTTTATTAAAATATTCCAAAATTGGGAAACAACTGCACCCCAGGTCTTGAATGTCAGTTAACAAACAGAATTTTGTTTGTGATTATAACCCATCTTTTTCAGCATTGACTTTGGGATTCCCAGGGAGAGAGATCTAAAACACACACACACACACACACACACACTCACTCACTCAAACTCACACACCCCTTCCAAACGGGCAATAAAATGTATTTGCAAAATGATTCAAGTGTTTAGTGGAAGTTGGAGTAGTAAATGCAATTGGGGCAAGACATTCACAAACATACATTCTGAGAATGAGGTGAATCATAGTAAACAGAAGTAAGTCCTTTAAGAGATTCAGATTTTGTTTTGAGAAGAAAGTCACAGTATTTGTTCTCCTTGGTTAAAAGAGATGTAGTGAGAATTACATGAGATAACACAAGTGAAGTGCCTTGTCCAGGTGGAACAGTGGCATTAGTTGATATCACTGTCTTTAGACTTGGTGTCTATATTAGGAGGGTAAGAAGGAGCTGGCAGGGTCCAGGTTGGTTGTGTTCTTTTGAGGGGGTGACTGTGAGGACATGATGTCATTTAGAAGTGCCAAGTAGCCAGGAATAAATGTGTCTCAGTTCCTCAGTGGTGTTCCATGTTCAGTTAGATCATTTGTGTGAGAGAGACATAGAGACATGCTCTCACTCTGTAGCTTTGGCTGGCCTGGAGCTCAGATCTTCTTCCCTTGGTGTCATGATGATTGTTGGGATTTTAGGCCTGCATCACCATCCTTCTAACCAAAGTTGCTGATGACTTCAGCTAGCTTTCCAATATGCATGTCTTTGGATCTTAAACTATACTCAGTGAGCCCAGTGCTTCAGACATAACTGCCTAGACATCAGGTTTGGTCTTTGTCCATTTCCTCTGTCCTCTCTGACTTCCCTGATCTGTGTTTGCTATAGCTGATGGGCAATGGATTCTCACTAAGACACCCTAATTATATAGAAGCCTCATATGAGTTAATAGAAGGTTTTGGAACTTTAGCAGCTACCAACTACCTTTCCTTTGCTGTCAAGGCTCATGCTGGGAAAGCTGGGCCTTTGGATAACAGTTTTACCTTGTTCCTTTTATATTACCTCAAGTAACCTATGAGATTGCTCCTGGTAGGAACCAGGCTCATGTTAGGTAAAACTTAGGTGCTGTGTTTCATTAAATTATAGTGCTAATCCTGCTGGGAAAGTAGAGACGAGGTTCCTGAATGGAACACCCAAGGAAAAACTGTCCTTTGGTTATATGAGAGATGGGAGGAGCCAACTTCCAGAAGTGACCCCAGGGAACCCCAAAAGCTTCTTGGTTGCCATTGTTTCGGTCTGGTCCTTAGCATGACTCTAGAAATGGAGTTATGTGTCTGGCATTCATCAGATTTTAAAATTTAATTTCAAGTTAGCCTAGAATCCGACAGTCAAATATACAGCAAGATGAATCCTACTCATTCAGACATTTATGCCTTTTTCAAACAGATTGCACTGTTAAGAAATGTCTCAGAGATGCTGGCAGAGTGGCAGTTGTGGGGTTAAGAATATTTTGGCATCAAAATGCAGGAAATGTGGCCATAGTTGTGGGGAAGGGTATGTTGTATCTCCTCTCCTCTGGTTATATTGGTATGTACTGCTACCTCTAGATCCAGCCCTCCTCTCCCACCTGGTGCACCTCCATGTCCGCCTTCCAAGTAGATAGCCTGGTGTATTTTGTATGCTGGTTAGAATCTCTGTTGAAACGGACTCTGTGCTTCCTAGGAACTAGCCAGCTGTGGATGGAGTAAGAAGGAGAAACATAGTCTTGCCCCCAACGTCGTGGCCTTTACCCGGAGGTTTAACCAGGTAAGCTACATCCTTTGCATGTACCTGTCCCAATGGCTCTGTTGTCCCTGTAAAGCTGCAGACTCGTCTAAACATGGCTGAGTCCAATCCCATGTATCAGGTACCTGGCTAGGTACCTGGCTCCAGGTTCAAACCCTTCTTCCTAAACCATCTACCTTCATTCATTTTTGTGCGATTACAATACATTTCACAAGGTGGATGGAACTGAACACTATTTAATTTCATATAAACCAAGGTTTTGGCACTTTAAAGTGCTCAGGGATGTCCTGCAGTGGGGACCTAGCCTCTGCCCACTCCTCCTGCCTCATTTCCCATCCTTCCCTTTCCCTCTTCTGGCCCCGCTGCCCTTGCTTCCATCTCTAGTTGAGTGCATCTATCTTTCTCTGTCCTGTCATGTCCCCTGTGCGCTATTCTCCCAGCTGAGGACTCTGCAGGCCCCCCTCTCCCCCGTTTAATCTCATTCTGATCTTAGACTGAGTGTTACCTCCTCAGGGAGCTGTTGCTGGGCCCTGAGTCTGGATGCTGTTTCCCTCTCAAATACTCACCTTGCAGTTCATTGCACCTTATACTTCTGTGTGATTCCTTACTCACTGGCCCTCATTTTTTTTTTTTATCACTCTGTGGTCTCTGCCTTCCTTGCTGGTCTGTGAGTGCCATGAAAGTAATGCCATGCCCATCTTTTTCATCACAACATCCACACCTTGCCAAGTTGAGGCATTTGTATAAGAGATGGTCAATAAATTCATGTAGAACAAATGAGTCCTATGTTTAGGCAACACTGTTTGAACTTCTTGAAGAATTCTTTTTTTTTTTTTTTTTGTCGGTCATGGGGCTTGAACTCTGGGCTTGGGCGCTGTCCCTGCGCTCTTCAGCTCAAGGCGAGCATTCTACTGCTTGAGCCACAGCACCACTTCTGGTTTTCTAGTAGTTTATTGGCCATAAGAGTCTCACGGACTTTCCTGCCCGGGCTGGCTTTGAACCGTGATCCTCAGATCTCAACCTCCTGAGTAGCTAGGATTACAGGCGTGAGCCACCAGCACCTGGCTTGAAGAATTCTTTAATACTTCTCAACTCCAGATTCACTGGCCCTACACTACTTCAGACTGATTTAGTCTAGCTAGAACCTTGGCTCCAGGTGTGACAAGCTGTATCTCATTTATTGGAGTGGTGATCACTGATATGGACCAAATGAGGGGGAGAGCTTCTAGAACATAATTTTTTGTAGCAAACACCCTGCAAAACCCTTTTTGCATAAGCCAACATTCCAAATTTTTCTTCCTCATTCTTGTTTTTTTTTTTTTTTTTTAATGAGGACAGTGGCCTTGAGGTTACATAATGTGAGTGACTAGCCCTCTGGGTTCTGGGGCTCATGTTCCCTTGAGGTCTTAGCTCCAGCTGGGCCTGCCTTCACAGAAATGCCTAGTCTTGTGCATCATTGTTGCTCAATCCCTCCAGCCCTTTCTAGCCTCAGTGTCCACCCAAGGGCAGTAGGAGCCTCAGAGAGGCACCAGATTATAGTCTAAAGATCAAGGCTGGACTAGCAGAAGTATTCATTGGGGAAATGTTATAGGAGCCAAGAAAGGTCTAGATGTATCTGAATGAAGAGCTGCACACAGTTTGTTTTGGGAACCTTTTTCTTCATTTCTCCTTCTGAAAATCCTTTCCACTAAGCATAGTCTAAAAACAAAACAAATCAAAACAAAAAAAAAAAACAGAACAATACAAAAAGCCCAGATGTGCACAAATTATCAAGAGATTCATAGTTTCCGTAACAAAAATATTTGACTGGGAGTCAACTCAATTCCCACCTCTGACTAACCATGGAGCTCCCTGAGGAAAGGCCATCAGGGACTCTGAAGTAATCTGTTTCACACTCTGATGCCAGCTCAGCTTGGCAAAGGCAGTGTAGCTTCTTCTGTGAACAGTTATATTTGTCCTACTCAAACCAAGTGGTGAAATGAGCCAGAAGTAAAGTTACATTTTCTCAAATCCAGTGCTCCGGGAAATGATCTTTCTGCCGGAGCTACTCAGAGAGCCAGCAGCTCTTGGACATAGCTGTAGCAGCTCTGGCTTACAAACTGGCTACATGCCAGACCTGGTTCACCACTGTGGCTGCTTTCTTTGAGATGAGCTCATTGGTGGACCTGACCCATGTGAGGACAGTATGCCTCATTAGGCTCCAGATAAGAGAAAGCACCATTTTCCTCATCTGTGACTGAGAGTAATGACAGTGTTTACTTGACACCATTACTATAGTTACATGAAATATATATCAAGAGCTTTTAGATTAGTATCTGCCATATAGTAGGTACCCAAATGTTTTAGAGGGAACTAAAGGAAAGTAGGAAGATCAACTGATTTGAAGGAGATTGCCAGGGACTTGAAGCTCCTTGTGGCCAAAGCAGAAGCCTAGGAGTGTGTGCCCTGTTCTGCTTGCCTGCTTCTCCATGGAGTCTGAATCCTTTGTGATTTATTCATTGAGTGGCCAGATGGAAAAGCTTGACTAGGTTCACCAAAAGTGTTCCAGGCCTGTCAACCTCACGGAGTTCAACATACCATATAGAAGTTTTCAGTCATTCTGGGGTCACTGTCATTAGTCAGGTGCTGGTGGCTCACACATGTAATCTTAGCTACTTGGGAGGCTGAGAATGGAAGGATCATGGTTTGACACCAGTTTGGATAGAAAAGTTTGCAAGACCCTTCCTAACCCATAGCTGGGCCCAGAGGCCCACTCTATCACTGAAGAGGCAAGCACTCTACCACTGAGCTACCTTCCCAGCCCCATAGGTATGCTCTTGAACTAGTTCTACATAACATTGAATGGAAAGTCCTGGATAGTGCAATAAGACAAGAAAAAATAAAAGATACTCAGAACAGAGAGAAAGAACTCAAGATGTCTTAACTCATAGGTTTTGTGATTGTCTATATAAAAGTTCCCAAGAAATCTTTTTTTCAAAACCCTCCTGGAATTAACTAAAGTATAACTAAAGTAAAACACAGGGTCATTATACTGAAGTCAGTTGTTTTCCTGTATACCAGAAATGAAGAAATAGAATTTGAAATGAAAAACAATAGTAACAACCCAAAACAAAAACACTGTTTTTGATAGGACTAAAACAAAACTAGGGTAATTTATCTTACAAAATATGTGCAAGTTTATATGTGGAAAACTACGAAACACTGTTGAAAGTAATCAGAATACATCTGAACAAATGGAGAGATATGCCATCTTTATGGATCAAAACATTCATTATTGTTAAGATGCCTGTTCTGCCTTTTTTTACCAAGATGGAGCTGAAAGCAAAGAAGGAAGCTCCCACCCTTCCCAAAGCTGAAGCTGAGATGGCAGACACACACTGCCAAGAAAGCAATGCTAAGAGGCGTCCATAGCCACAAAATGAAGATACTAATGTCACTGACCTTGCAGCAACCTAAGACTTTGCAGATCTGGGGGCAGCTCTATACCCTTGGAAGAGTGTCCTCAGGAGAAGCAAGCTTAACCCCTATGCCATCATCAGCTTCTCCCTAGCCACTGAGTTAGCCATAAAGAAGACAGAATACAGCAACCCAACCCACTTATGTTCTTTGTGAATGTCAAGGCCAACAAGCATCAGATCAAACAGGCTGTGAAGAAGCTCTTGATCAGGCCTGCCTATGATATTGAGATGACACATGTCCCAATAGAAAGATGGGTAAAGCACCTGAGCAGGCAATTCTTCAGCAGTACAAATGGCTTATAATTATTTGGAACAGAAAATGTGCACTGAAAAAAATGCAAAAAAAAGTTAACTGGATGGTCATGAAAAAAAAATGCAAACCAGTTACAGTGTGATACCATTTTGTCTACTGGGTTAGTAAAGACGAAAAGAATTTTACCAACTGGTTTTGGCTGGTATAGGAAAACATGGATCTGTTTAAACTTGTTGATGGATCAAAGTCAAACCTTTTGGAAGCCAAGTTTCATATATATATATATGAAAAGATTTACACTTTTATTCGTTTCACCTTACAAGAATTTATTCTCAGACTTTAATAAAAAGTATACAAGAGGGGAAGGGAAATAACAAAATGCTGAAATAAGGATACAGGATGACCCATTGTAACAACGAGATGTACAAGACACTATGTTGAAAAATAACTTTACAACTTTGTGGGGGAGTAGGGTAGGAGTTGGGGAGGCGTGGAGGGAAGGGATGGTAGGGAAAAAACAAAGGAGGGGGTAACAATGCTCTACAGGAAATGGATTCATTACCTTGCTCATGTAACTTTAACCCCTCTGTACAGTATCTTTACAATAAGAAACATATATTTTAAATTATTCAAGGTGCAAAGGTGTTTGCTACAGTATTATTTACCACAATAAAATAATTAGAAATGGCCTGCCCAACAGTAGGAGCTTACTTCAGTCACTGGTGATGCATCTCTGTGATGATGTACTTGGACCTGTAAAAAACGGCAGACAAATAGTGACTTACAAAAGTTCTTATGACATATGACTAATGTTCACCAGTTTTGTTGAGAAAGACAACGTATGTAGTATATATGGAAAAAAGAGTGGGAGGACATATATTACCCTGTCATCATGTTCATCTGTACGTGAGACTAGTAAGTTTGCAAGTGGTTCTTTGTCCTTATCTCTATTTGCCTTATTTTCTGTATCAAGTGTCTGTGAAATTTTGTACTTAAAGAAGAGAGTAAAATCTTAAGGGGCTGGGAAGGTGGCTCAGTGGTAGAGCGCTTGCCTTGCATGCATGAGGCCCTGGGTTCGATTCCTCAGCACCACATAAGCAGGAAAAAAAAAAGCTGGAAGTGGCGCTGTGGCTCAAGTGGTAGAGCACTAGCCTTGAGCTGAAGAGCTGAGCGACAGCGCCCAGGCCCAGAGTTCAGGCCCCACGACCGGACCCCCTCCCCCACTAAAAAAAAATCTTAAGACTGCTGCTCTACCCATTTCATCTTTCTCATCTGGCCCTTCTCATCTCCTTCACTGTGGCCTTCCTCAGGCCCCTATTCTCTCTCACCATTGCCTTAGTGTTCTAGCTAGTGGCCCTGCCCATCAGAATGATCTCACGTGTTGCTCTTCAGAAGACTCTGAATTCCCCACATTAGATAGCACCATAGTTCTGTCATCTTTCCTTGCTCCAGGACCCTTGGTCTGGTCATCCTATCCTATTCCAGTTTCATTTGCCCTCCCTTTTGCACCCCACAGAGCTCCTTCAGGCCTGTCAGGCACCGCTAGTCCTAGTCATGGTATCTACAGTCATACCTCAGACCTGTTTTGCTGTATAAGATCTTGCCATGTTCCAGAGCCTTATTACTCCCCAGAGTAATAAGGGTTCCAGAGTCATTACTCCCCATTCTATGGTTCACCTGCTTTGAACTTCTTCAATGGCCATTATCACAGTTGCTTTCCAGTTCAGAGATTTCTGGCGAGTTTTGCTTCCTCCCTTGGTCACTTTGGTGCCAGGTAAGGTGTGGACTTCAGTGGGGGTATCACATAACTCTGTTGAATCAAATTGTTTCATCAGAGCTGCTACTACACACTGTGTTGCTGCAGATCCAAAGTCAACTCTGTCATTTTCCAAAATTTTGCCAGAAAAAAAGTGAGGTTTTGGCAGGCAAGAATCTGTTAAATTATCATATACATATAAAGCAGCACACTTGAGATTATGTGGCATGAGAATTGTACATATTAAAATATATGATCACTGAATTTACTGTTTGGTACTTAGAAGAACTTTCTTCCATAGCAGGCTAGTAAACATTTGAGACTGAATTTAATTTTGGCAATTCCTTGGAAAAAATGATTCTATGGAAACCCAGGCGTGTCCTGGGGGTAACCACCAGTAATTGCACCGAAGAAAACATTTTCTAATCCTCCTGCTTAATATAAAATGCAAACTGTTGATTCCTGGTTTCCCTTTCCTATTTCCTCTTTGAGAAGGGACAGTTTTCCACTCAGGAGACCCTCCTTTATTGCAACAGCAAGCTTGCAATGTGAACTCCGGGCCAGCCTCTGCTTTTTCTAGTTGTGGGGGGGGGGGTAGAGGGGGTGCTGCTGCCTTGCCTTCCTCTTCATGCACACCCCCCACCCTGCTATGCTGTGCCAGTGCACCCTCTCTCCTTTTACTGTGGCGGTGGCACTCTTTGGCATGTGTTTCACACAATACTGTTGTGATGGGAATGAGGCATAACAAGGAAAGCTAGCTGTTTCCCAGCAGCTCTTGGCTGCCCCTTCCCTATGTTTTCTTGAGGTGCTGTGAGTCAGCCTGTTCCCACCAATAGCCCCAGCAGCTCAGCACTATGGCTGTATGTGAGAGGTCAGGCAAGAATGAGGATCTTCACTGAAGCTACTAGCACAGTCTTTGGCATGTGCTAGCTACAGAAGAACAAACACCCATAGCTTGGGTTGTTTCATGGAACTTCGAAAGACACTTCTGTGTTGTATATAATTGCTAAACCTCTCTTAGAAAATTAAATTTGTTGCATTTGTGTAATATTGGCAAAACCTCCTTATCTTGAACCTGGCAGGCCATATGGACTCATGGGTGTTACTGTCAGTGTATATTCCTTTGTCTGACCATTTCCATCCCTCTATCTACTCTCCCATTATCCATGGCCTCATCTGGAGTCCAGGAGTCCAGGCCAAATCATCTCCCAATTCCCTGCAGCCCCTGCAGAAACTTTTTTTTCTTTCAAAATTTGTATTTATTTCTTGCTGGGGCTTGAACTTGGGGCCTAGGCACTGTCCTGAGCTTTTTTTGCTCAATCCTAGAGCTTTACCACTTGACCCACAGCATCACTTCCAGCTTTTTCTGAGTGGTTTATTGAGGATAAGAGCCACATACTTTCCTGCCCTGGCTGACTTCGAATAATGATCTTCATATCTCAGCCTCTTGAGTAGCCAGGATTACAGGCATGAGCCACTGGAACCTGGCCCTGCAGAGACTTTCATGTCTTGGGGACCCAGTCCTCCCCTTGGTGATTGCAGAGGGTCACTGGGAACAGGGTCCCCAGGGATCTGGGTTCAGATGCCATAAGGAACTCAACCTCATGTGACCTTAGGCCATGCTCTTAGACCTTCCTGGCTTCCCAGAAATCCCACAGCAGCAGTGGGCAAGGGTGATGGCAGTTAACAATTTGTCTCTGTGTGTATGTTTGTGTATTGCAGGTCAGTTTTTGGGTTGTACGAGAAATTCTAACAGCACAGACTTTAAAAATAAGGGCAGAAATCCTGAGCCATTTTGTGAAAATAGCCAAGGTAAGCTGTTATATTATTTTTAATGTATTTTTGTCTCAAAATGTATTTCCTCAGTACTTTGGATAGTGTTTTACTCTGAGCCTGCTGGACAAGGTCCAACAGTGTTGGGGGCGGTAGGGGAGGTACCACCTGACCTTCCCAGGCAGAGCCTGTTGTAAGACCCACCTGGCTTCCTATAACCCTGTACCCTGTTTGTGCTTTGGCAGCATCCCCCACTATCCCTTAATTTCATCAGACAACCATTCTCCTTACCAGGGTTTTCAGTACTTCCACACTGTCCTGGACTCTCTTCATCCTCCTTTAGACCCTGGCAGTGCCGAGGGTGTACTTAGTACCTGTGTCTGTGATCTCTTCACAGCATACATAATTGTGTTTCTAGTCATCAGATTCCAACCACCCCACCCTGAAATAAGACCAGAGCCAGGTGGCCCTGCCCCTTATACCCACCTACTACCCCCTGGCCTCATAGTTTCTGCTCTTGTGGCTTGTTGGATCCCTTTCTCCTCTTTCCTCATGTAATCTGCTAGCTCATGGCTTTTCCAGACCATTGTCAAATCAGGTAGCTCCTTCTTGTGCCTTTCTCCCACCACCTGTTTGCCAGGCTCCAGAAGTATTTTTCTGCCTTGGTTCAGTGCTTTCTTTGTGTGTACAGGTGTTGTCTTCCCACCTGCATCTCCAGAAAGCTGTCCTGAACTGAGCTCTTCTGTCCCAGACAGTGTAGCAGCTCCTATACTAGTGGGACCACACCCAGTACTCACATGGTATCATTCCATTTGCAGAGTAAGAAGGGGACTTAAGGAGATGACATGTCATACTCAGGCCCCAAGCTAGTCAGTGACAGAACAGCAATCAAAGCCATGTCTCACTGCCTTCAAGGGAGCAGCTCTGCTGCCCCTCACAGGAAGATTAAGCTTGTTGAGCTGTAAGAGATGTTAGGGACAGTGGTCACTGTTAGGTTTTTAAAAAGAGGTAGCCGAGTAAGAACAGCAGCATGCACGTGGTATTCAGGTAAGGGGTAGGTTTATTCATCGTTCCGGCTGACACTAGGCCATCTTGGTCCTCCTTGAGGTGGGGAAAGGCCTGGGAAAGAGCGAGAAAAGAGAGAAAGCTAGAAAAGAGAGCTCTGGGAAAGGTGGGAAAGAGAGAGCTAGGAAAGGGAAGGGAGCTGAGAAAGAGCTAGAAATGAGCAGAGAGAGAAGAGAAGGGAGCTGGGAAAGAGAAGAGAAGGAAAGAGCTGAGAAAGAGCTAGAAAAGAGCAGAGAGAGGGCGTCTGGGCCTGGGCTAGGCCTTATCTAGGGTATAGTCGGAGAAAGGTGTGGCCACATCAAATTCAGACGTGACCTCAGCAGATGCAGATGTGACCTCTTCCAGGTGTCCCAGTTGCCTAGGTAACGCAGGTACTGGGTGGAGACTTTGCTGCGAGGATGGTGGAATCTGCTAGCTATCCAGGAGCGGACCTTACAGTCACAGTGATGTCCCATGGAGTCTCCTCACGTGCCTGGAACTGGTGCTTGGCTCAATGCTACTTGTCCCTTCCCCTCAGTTCTATGCTGAGCCAGAATGGGGAGTGGGATGTGGTTCTAGCTCTCCTGGGACTTGCAGTTTGGAACTGAGTTATAGTCCTCACTCAAGGGTACAGAATCCTTCCTCCTTAACCACTGCCCTTTCCTGTACTTCAGATTGTCATGCTGGCCCTGAACCCTGGGGGTATCCCTGGGCAACCCTCCTTCCTGGGCCTTGATTTTTTCATCTGGAAAATGGAAGTGGTGAAAAATTCCCAGAGACTTCTCAGCTTTAGAAAGAAATTTGGTCATAGGCATAGCAATTGAGATGCTAGAATGAAATTAAGTTCACTTAGAGAATCTATTATTACACACAGGAAGCAGTTTGAGCTTGTAACAAGATGTACTAAATAAAACATTAACTTGTGTGGTTAAAGTGACTTTTCCAGTAAGAACAGAGCTACAAGGGACAGGCTTAAGGGGCTTTTCCTCAATTTTTCATTATACCTGATGTGTGCTGAGCACTGTCCTGGGTACTGACAACATGGTGGTACAGGGAACACAAGGCAGACAGTGAAGTAAAAATAAGTACAGTCCGAGTGCAAAGGGATGTACAGACAGAACCTATGTGGGAGCACAGACATTAGTCCCCACACATCTTAGATTTGCAAACATGGTGAGGAAAGGCATTTTAGAGGAAATGGCATCAGAGCATCCCAAGATAAGGGAGGAGAAAAGGAGTCTTCCATACAGAGAGGACCAAGCCTCACCTTGCACTGAATATGCATCCCAGGTCCAGGCACTGCCTTAGCTGGTGACAGGCACTATTTCATGCAGGGCAGGTTCCATGACTACCTTCCTAGTTTTAACTACAAGGACACCAATACTCAAAGAATTGGGTAACTTGCTGTAGGAAATGTAAGTCGAGGGAGCTGGGATTGGTAGCAGGTCTTTGGGTTCCACAAAGCCAGCTCACTAAGCTTGGGTTCACTGCCTCCTAAGAATGAGACACCGACATGGTTCCTGTTAGCAAGTTTCCCCAGTATAAAACCAAGAACACAGCAATTGCATTTTTCTGCACTGACTCTGCTATGGCTCATTCTGTGGCCCTCCACAGTAAGGGACTTGTCTGCGACTGAATTGACTCCAAATGTTCTCACTTCACTGGTTCAAAGGGATCGGGAAGCGGGGAGCAGGAGCCTTGCCTTTCCAGCTGAGAGAGATTATGGAGATTGATAACATCTTTCCTTGGGCTCTTTCTTGTTGGGTGTTAAGGTAATCACAATGGAACCCACTGATGCTTGCCGGCAGGGCCAGAGTCAGTTTACAGAAGCCTGTTGGGACCAGTTCAGATTCCTCTAAAAAAGGACTATAAAGGGATTATCAGATCTCATCTCAAGCCATGTTTCTGTCCGGCAACCAGATGATCAGCCTAGGAAAATTTCCAAGTCTTTTAGATGCAAGCTCACCTTTTGACAATTGAGAGACATAGAACATATGGTTCCTATGAACTTCTTAGAACTATATTTTCTACATGAGATATTTTTAAGTGTAATTGAATTTCATAAATATGACAACATTTGGTAATACTTGAGCATGTTTTTCTTTTGTTGTTTATAGCAGCAAAATAATGTATTCCATATCTTTTTTTTTCCAGAAACTTCTAGAACTCAACAACCTTCATTCTCTCATGTCTGTGGTATCAGCATTACAAAGTGCTCCCATCTTTCGGCTGACAAAAACTTGGGCTGTAAGTTAATCTCCTTAAGTCTGTCCCTTTGATTTCTGAGGTCCTTTCATTGCTGAAGACCTGCATGGCTTAAGCCTCAGGCTTTCCCTGGCTGCACTCTTCTAGGGAAAGTTACTGGTTAATGAAATGTTCTTGAAGCATCTTCATGGCTTCAGTGGCTCTAAGCACCTTTTTGGTTTAAGGGTTGGGTAGGGGTGCTCATATAGCTGGGGTTGAAGCCCCTAGTGGGGATCTTTCTGGACCCCTATGTGCTTGTTGTTATCTCTAATGGCCAAGTCCGTGCATAACTTCTGCCTTCCGCTTGATCACACTTATCTCTGCCAGGCTACAAGCTGCACTTGGAAAGGTCTCTGGGCTGATAGTTTGCAGCTGCCCTGGGTCACTGGCCATATTGCCCAGTTTCTCTAGAGAAATCCGTGGCCCTAATATAGGAAAAAGTGATTTTCTTCTTCTTTTTTTCTTTCCTTTTTTTTTCTTTCCTGAGGCCATGGATAATTTCAGCTCAGAGGTGGAGTCTGATAGTTATATAATTGAGTCTGTAGGAAAGTTTTTCTGCTGTAAAAATACTTTAAAAATATCTCAGACCTCTTTATCCTTCTAAGTTGGCCCAGCGCCTGACTTGGGGGAAGTAATTGCTATTTCCATAGCTCATTAGTATTCACCTCTTGGCCCGCTTGCCTGGTCCAGGGTCTCTCTCAGACATATAGCCCAAGCCTTTCAAGACCTGTTTATATCCCACTGCACTGACAGGAACTGTATGGAATTGTCAGATGTACTTCAACAACTCATTTCCGACCTTCTTTCTGCCAATTGTAGGGCTGGGCTCTGTTCCTACTTGGCTGGCTTAAGGAACCTTTAAAATACTTAAGAAGTATGTTGTAGGTGATCAGAAATGGACCTGTTTCTTTGAATTGAAACTTTCCATTGATTTAGCCCTAGCAGAGTGGGGCTAGAGGCGTTAGCCTGGAGACCTGGAACTAGGTTTGTGTTCAGGCACCATTCAGAGTGAGGGGCTTGTTTTCCATCAGTGCTCAGGATAGCTAATGTAGAATAACAGTTTTCAATCAGTGCTTTGAGGAGCCCTGAGGTCCTTAGAGTTACCTTAGGGCTTCTGAGGACTGAGGGAGAGGAGCAAGGGCACCAAGCACATAACCCAGGCCCATTTCTATCCGGAAGTCTTATTTGTGCCAATTTTGGGTATTGAGCTTCTGGTGAATTACAGCTGAGCAATGGCTTTGGAGATTGAAAGTAAGTTTGGAAGCTACTGGTTTCTTCAGTGGCTGCCAGTCCTGTGATTTCAAGGCCATCTGAGCAGTGAGACTTTTTTCTAAAGTTGCTTGGAAATTCTTTTTCAAATGAATTTTCCATCATTTGATGCTGTTATTGTTTCTTGGGCTTCCAGTAGCTGTGTAGCAACTGGGAGCACTGTGTTTTGTATCTTCTCATACCTTGCTGTGAGCAATACTGTGACTCTCAGGGGCCCCTAGGAGCTACAGAGTCATTGAGGGCAGAGCAAGTGAAGCATCCCAAACAGCCTAAGCTGTCTAAGACCCCTACACAGAGATGTGACAGGCAGGGCTCATCCATGAAGGTCTTCATAGTCCTCTCCAAAGGATGCTTTCTGCTGCCAGGTCCATGAGGGCAGCATTAGGACAGAGCAATACCAGGACTTCCCTGCTTGGCTGGTGAGCACTGCTCAGTGGGGCTCAGCCTGAACTGAAGCTAGTGAGTCTGTGCTGCAATGAAAGTTAACTTGCATGGCTTCTTGGAAGGCTAGAGTTCAACACCTATCCAGGACCTAACAAAGGTGTACCCCTTCTCCTAGCTCCTCTCCAACCACATGGATTATTTTCCTGCATGGATTTGCCAGAATGAAAGCATATAAAATGGAAGTCCTAAATTCTTTACACATACTAACTCCTTTAAGTCTGGCAGCTATCCATAGAGGTAGGTAGTGAGGTCATTCTCATTCACATGTGAGGAAACAGACTCAGTAGGGTGGAGTGATTTCCTCAGGGCCAAGGCTAAATGGCCAAGTTGTCTGGCTGCACAGTTCTCAACCTCAGTCATCCAACCCCACTGAGCAGAACAGGACAGTTCCTAACTACCACCTGCCTTTCAAAAACAGTACAAGCAAGCCAGGCACCAGTGGCTCACACCTGTAATCCTAGCTACTAAAATGGTTGATATCTGAAGATCATGTTCAAAGCCAGCCTAGGCAGGAAAGGCTGTGAGACACTTATCTCAAGTTAACTACCAGTGGTGTTGTGGCTCAGAGTGGTAGTGTGCTAGCCTTGAGCGAAAGAGCTCAGGAACAATGCCCAGGCCCCAAACTCAGCCCCGCCTCTTCCCAAAAAGTACAAGCACTGATTAAAATATTTTTCTCCTCTATCAAAAGTGAAGCATTAGAACATAGTTGCTAAACTAGAAAGACAGCTAACAAATTGGGAAAAGATCTTTACTAGCACTACATCAAAGGCCTAACTCCCAATATATACAAGGAGCTCACGAAACTAGCCCTTCCCAAACTTGATACAGCAATTACTAAATGGGCAAGGGAGCTAAGAAAAGAATTCTCAGAGGAGGTAAGAATGGCAAAACACATGAGGAAATACTCATCATCCCTGGCCATAAAGGAAATGCAAATCAAAACAACCATGAGATATAGTCTTACTCCAGTTAGATTGGCCTAAATTTTGAATTCTGACAGTAACAAATGCTGGCAGGGATGTGGGGATAAAGAAACACTACTGTGCTGCTGGTGGGAATGTAAATTAGTACAACCACTCTGAAAAGCAATCTGGAGTTTCTCAAAAAACTAAAAATAGACCTTTCTATGACTCAGCCATACTACTCCTAGGCATCTACCCTGAGCATCATAAACGAGGATATGACAATGACACCTGCATATCCATGTTCACTGCCACACTATTAATAATAGCCAAGATATAGAAACAACCCAGATATCCCACAGCAGATGAGTGTATCCAAAAACTATGGTCTCTATATACAATGGAATTTTACATAGCCATTAGAAAGAATAAAATAATGTCATTTGCAGGGAAATGGATGGAGCAAGAACAAATCATGTTAAATGAGGTAAGTCAAGATCAGAGAGACAAATGCCATATGTTCTCCCTAATATGCGGAAGTTAGACCTAAAATGCAATGGGACATGACAAAGTATACAAAATTCTACATACTCACGTACAGTGAGACCAAAAGAGGATAGTCTTAGGAGCATCCCACCAAGGTGTAATGCCCAAGTGCACATAAAATATATAAAATTAGATACATACTGAAATGAACGCCAAAGATATGGAAACAAAGAACTTTTTTCTTAAATTATTTTTTTTTCTTTTTCTGGTAACTCTGTATTTTTTACCTTATATATGATGTATTCATGTATACATCTGCAGGAGGGTAGGGGGAGGACACAGAATCAGAGGAAAAAGTGCAGCAGTGGCGCGCACTGGACATTGATAAAAGTGAACTATGCAACTCATGGGTGGAGATGGGAAAGAGGGTAGGAAGAGAATGAGGGAACACATGATACTATGTGAAAGGAAATGTACTTATTATCTGACATATATAATGGTAACTCAACTGTGTATCACATCTAAACTACAATAAAGTAAATTAAAGGGGGGGGAAGCGAAGCATTAAGAACTTTGAAGATAAGCTAGGTTACTGTCGGTGCCTCCCTAAGCCTTTAGGCCTTTGTCTTGAACATGGCTATTTCTGGCCAGCACCTTGTTGCCACAGCACAGCAGAAAGAGAAGCCAGAGGCCCTCATGGAGGGCACCAATGGCCAGAAGCCAGAGAATGGCAACCATGCTATGCAGGCTGTCCCTTAAAGTGTGAGACAAACTATCTTTTCAATCAAAGTTGAGTTGTTTAAAAGTTCCTGCTTTGGCCAGGTGGCTTGGCTTTTGTTGATTATTCTGCTACAATAATTTCAGCAAGACAAGAAAGAAAAAGAGAAACTGCTTTGGGATAAGGAAAGGTTTTTGAAATGTAAGGTTTTTGTCTTAACAGGTTGTTCCAAGATGGAATTAAGAGACACCTCAGATTGTTCAAGGCATAGCAGAAAGTGTGGGTATGTTTTGAGATTGTTTGTGTACCATTAATCTTATTTCAAAGTTTTTTTTTTTGGGGTCCGGTTGTGGGGCCTGAACTCTGGGCCTGAGCGCTGTCCCTCAGCTCTTCAGCTCAAGGCTAGCGCTCTACCACTTGAGCCACAGTACCACTTCCGGCTTTTTTCTTATGTGGTGCTGAGGAATTGAACCCAGGGCCTTTGGCATGCAAGGCAAGCACTCTACCACTGAGCCACCTTCCCAGCCCTATTTCAAAGTTTTTTAATGGTCACCTTACTTAAATACATCTTGCCTTCTTCAAACTAACTAGTCTTGAGCAGATTGTGAACCTGAGCTCAACCAATCCAAGCAGAAGAGCAGGACCTGCTGTGTGAGGGATAAATAGGGAGCAGCCGGCCTGCTCTGTGTGCTTGCTTGTTAGATTTTTGGCTGATGGCGCACCCTTCTATGCAGAAGAAATATTTTCCTTGAGTAGAAGTGGGATGGGTGAGGGCTATAGACATGCAAGGAGACCTGTTACTTGTCCATGCAATGGATGACCTTTAATGAGGATCAGTAAGTCACTGATCTGCCCATGGCTGGCTTCTGAGGGACAGGAGTTGGAGTTTGTTGGATAGGATAGACTGACTCTGTGCACAGGCCTATACACAGTAGGTTCTCAATAAATGCTGGCTGGATATGCAGAGTCATAGCTGGCCTGGAAAAACACACAGGGAATGGTTTATTCTAGTACTGGAGTCACTTTGGAATATTTGTCTTCCTCAAAGCTATGAAACCTACACAAGAAGTTGTATCAGCCAATTCCGATTTCCTGAGTACACATCACCTTGCGGCTCGCATTCATTCTGCAGATCAAATATTTATCAAACGCCTCGTCTGTGCCAGGCCCCAGACTGCAGCCAA